GGGTGCGCGGGCAGGCGTCACCTGGCCGTGGCAGGCCGCGAAGGTCTGGCTGTTGATGATGCCGCACTTGCGCTCGGCCCAGGCCCGGCGGAAGGCGTTGAGGCTGCAGGGGTCCAGCGCCAGGCGGGCGTCCCCGCACAGCGGGCTCTCCTTCCAGGAGTTCACGAACTCCAGCTCGCTGGCCGCCACGTACCGGCTGCGCGTCTCGAAGTCGTCCTTCATGTTCCCGTTGGCGTTGCCGCAGAGGCCGCAGAGGGCGTCCTGCGGGGGCTGAGGTCAGGGCCTCGGCCGCCGCTGCCACCCACCCGCCCAGCGCGGCAGTACCTGCGAGGCCCGGGCCACCTTGATGAGGACCGTCATGTGCTTGTTCCAGACGATGCTCAGGTTGTACCTGTGGCCCACGGTGGCGTCCAGCACCAGGTGTAGGGAGCCGGCCTTCACGCTCAGCCGCACGAGCGGGTCCTCGCCGCTGACCGTGTAGTTCCTGTCTGCCAGCACCACGGACACGCCCTGTGGGGGGGTCACTGCTGGCCACCTGAGCCCCCTGGGGCGGGGCCGCGTCTGTCAAGGGCCAGGCAGGCCGGGCCTGCCCCGGCACCTGTGGCTGGCCAAGGTTCCAGCCCCGGGAGACCCCTCCCTGCCGCGCCGGGGGGGCGCCAGGCCCGGGCGGTGGCTCTGCGGCTCACCCCCAGGAGCACCCTGATGGCCCTAGAGCAGGTGACGCCCGACTTCCCGCAGACCACGTTCTCTGTCAGGATCTTGAAGCTGGGCCGGGCATCGTCGGGCCCGCAGCCATCCTGCGGGACGAGGGGCGAGGGTGCTCAGGGGGAGCCCCGTGCCCGCGCCCCCCCCGCCCGTCGCTGGCCCCTGCGCCGGCGCCCTACCGTGGCCAAGACGTATTCGCAGCTGCCTTCAAAGACGAAGCGCTGGCCATCAAAGGTGACCACGTGGCCCTCCCCGTACAGTGCACAGGTGGACGAGCAGGGCGCGCGCTCGTGGCAGGTCCAGCTCCCCTGGGCGCAGGTGCTGCAGGGCGGGGGTCTGGCTCAGGGGCGCCGCCCCGCCGGCCCAGAGCAGATGGGCGGGTGGGGCGGCCCTGGGGCGGGGGCCTGGAGTCGGCCTTGGAGAGGCCAGGGAAGGGGTCGCGGAGGGGCGGGGCCGCGGGCGGCGGGGTGGGGGCCCCGGCTCACCAGATCTTGCAGTCTGCGTGCAGCTGGGCCCCGCGGGGGTAGGAGGTGCCTGCAAACTCGCAGGGGCAGTCCTCGGGGGGCACACACTGCCCGCTGGCGTCCTCGTACAGGCCCTCGGCACAGACGCAGCCCGGCTCGCACCTGGTGGGCACCTGCGGCGCGAGTCGCACCTGGGAGGGGCTGTGGCGGCCCTGCAGCCCCAGGCCTGCTCGCCTCTCTCAGGGGCCTCCCTGCCTCTGGGACCCAGCTGGCAGCA